GACTCGCGGGAGCGCCGGGCCCGCCGCCGTTTCCCGCCCACCCGGCGGGCCCTCGGTGTCGCGCGCGGGCCGTCTGAAGAGACCCCGCCGCTTCCCCGCCCCTTCCGGGCGTCGCTCCTGCGCACCGCCCCTCCTCCCGCTCCCGCCACCAGCTTCGCGAGCCCGTGCGGCTGTGGGCAGAGTGTGAGGGGCGCGGCACAGTGCAGCGGGTTCGCTCTTCGGGTGTATTTCTGTTTTTCTTCCTCACCACAAGCGCTAACCTGTGACAGAAGATCCCGGGAAAATAAACCACGGCCCTGGCCTTGGTTCCTGGGTGTGAGCGGAGGAGGGCTCTTCACGGTTTGGGGCCCATGACACCGGGAAACAGGCCCGCAGTTGCCCCCGGGCCCGAGGAGGTCCGCGGGCTGCGGGCGCCAGGCTCCTGTGCCCTGAGCTCCTCTCTCCAGCGGGGGGTGGGGGCGCCCGCTGGCCGTCGGGGGCCGGCCTCGCCCGCTCGGGGGGCGGTGACTCTCGAGGTGCCGGGAAGCGGCTCCCCCAGAGCGTGTATATGAATCACGCGAGTGTTGGTTGGTGGCCCACCACGTGTCAGGAACTTTTGGGGCTAGGACCGTGAAGAAGACAGACACAGGTCCTGCCCCTAGAGAAGTTTAATCCAGCAAAACCCCACCATTTTAAGTCAGAAATGGGAAAGATGGGGGGTGAGGGGCAGAGACAGATGATGGAAAGAGGAAGCGCGATGTTTTTCCAGAAGGTAAAAAGTTTACCTATTAGCTGCATCTGATCCTTAAGGAGCTCTCCAGTAACACGACCACAGTATCCCCTGACAGTCTTTCAGTGCCGGGCTCGCTGCCCTGCGGCCGGCTGAGGAAACCCGGCGGGGAGGCGGCCCGGCCGGAGGTGAGCGGGGTGAAGCGCACACCAGCCCCCCAGCCCCCCAGCCCCCCGGGCCGGGCCTCTCCACGCCGGCGCCTCCGCCTGTGCACACCCGGCACTCTGATAATGGGTGGAATATGAAAAAGCCAGTCATCTCTAAAGGGTAGGGAGGGTCCCTGTGCCGGCCGCTCTCCTCTTCACCCGTCTGTCATCTTCTCTGTCCCATCTTGTGCCCTGGAGGATGACTTCTACGGGCTGCTTTCCACCGAGGAGACCCTGAGAGAGAGGTCAGAGAGCAAGCGGGAAGAGGGGGTGGGGTATTTCACCCCTCCCACCCCCCTTTCTCCTGCCTCTGCGGTGTCTCTGCTGGTGGCTGTGTCCCTCTGCAATAGAATTTCCCCTGAAGAGCCCCTTCTTCATATGGTTCCAGCTCCCACTGGGCTTCGGGAACACAATTTGCTGCTCTTATCTCTGCAACCCTAGGGATGGTAGCGGCTTCCCGTCATTGCTGGCTTCTGGGCCGCATTTCCCCCCCTAACTTTGCCCATACCTCTGCAAGGGGTTCCTTCGTGAGGTCTCTTCGTGTAACTGATCTGGAGGGAGAGCTGTTTCCCGCCAGGACCTGACTGGGAGTTCTTTAGTGCGAAGGGATGCTGACAGGGAAGGGAGCCAGGGTTATTAAAAAAGACTTGGTTTCCTTGATATATGTGCCTAATGCTGGCCCTGAGTAGGAGCTTTTAGACATGGAAATGCAGGGAGTGGTTGGAATACAACTCCAGGAAACGTCAAGATAACTCTAATATCGCTTCCAGTGTGTTGCTTCCAGTGACTCCATAGGCTGCAGTAGACTGTTCTTTCCTGTGTACTCCCATAGCTCCTGTTCACAGATTTTAAATTTACAAAAATCTGGCCTTCAAGGCTCTCCTTAAAGCCAGAGAGAGAGAGAGAGAGAGAGAGCTCTTCATTTTTCTCTTTATTTCCCAGGCACTACCTAGTGACCAATAGGCACTTAAATGCCTCCTGAGTGAGTTTACGTTCAAAGGTAATGTCCCTAAGAAACTGAAGTTATCTGACTGTGAGCCATAGAGAACTTGGGCAGCAGTAATGACTGCAAATTTGCTACTGTGATTTACTACAGTTGCAGAATTTATATGAAAAATAATGATGTTTCATGCTTTACAACTCATCCTGTTCTTCATTTCAGCCTGTGTGAAACCTGGTGATGTGGGTGGGCACAGTTATTTAGGGGCATGCCTAGGATCTCTCTTGCATAGCCATATGTGGTTTGTGTGTTTAATCTTGAAATAGCCAAGGTCAGTCTCTTGATATTACTCATAATTCTATGGATATATCAATCTACTATATATGAATGATGGAGTCCTTCATAGATAAAGACTGATGATGGATAAGCCTCCTAAATTAACGCTTGAGCTAGTGTAAAAACACAGACTTACAGATTATCTGTTGAGAAATGACCTTGAGTTCAAAGAGTTAACATGGGAAAATATGGGCATTTGCTATAGACTTTATTAGCCTTCAGTCTGTTTCCATGGAGCTGTTGCCAAGGTACACGAAGTAGAAATTTCTCCAAGACAACGTTTTACTCGTCTAAGGCCCTCTCCTTTTGGTTGACATGGAATCTATCTAAATCTGAGAAATTCAAGTAATTTGTAGACTTTTTTTCTGACTAGTTAGCATATCTATCTATTTTCACTAAAATCCATTGACCTCAACCATGTCTTACCCTAGAGGATTGCCAAGAACTGGAGGGAGGGGGCCTAGGTTAAAGATCAAGCTCATGGCTCTTTAAACACTTGCTTTAGGAATCCCAGATTGAGACAGATGACAAAGAACATTCTTTCTGACGTCCAAATTTATATTTATTATCGAAACCCTTTCAAGAATATACGTATCAAATCACATTTTGTTACAACTTCAATGAATCATTTAAAAAGAATAAAATTAACAAAATTGGAATTCATCTGGGAAATAGGAGACATATGGTCGTCATGGTGTATGGAGAGTACTGAGAAAAACCCCCCACCAGAGCTCATTCATTCATTTCTTCTCTAATGCTCTTCATGGACCTACAGTGCTGTCCTTGCTCTTCCTTAAACAAAGCCTCCTCGAGGACTTGGACTTGCTGTTCTGTATGGAAGGTTCTTCTCCCGTGGCTCACTCCCTCACTTCATTCACATCTCTGCTCAACTGCCACCTGTTCAGAGAGGACTTTCCTGGTCTTTCTATCTAAAAGATCAGCCCTCTTCACTCTCTCTTTCTCTGCTTTATTTTTCTTCTCAATTTTTATTACTGCCTTCTAGAAATTAGCCCAGAGGGCTGGGACTTTGATGTGTTCATTGCTGCATCCTTAGCACTCAGAAATGAGTAAAACTTATACAAAAGGAGACATTGGTAACCTCCAAAAGGGAGGTCTCAAAAGAGTAGCTAAAAAGTCAAACCGTCACATTCAGCACTTTCAGACCCTTGGTAAGTTCCTGTAGTTAGATGATTTCTTGCTGCCCATAGAACCATTCACATCACTGCATGGTTTGGGAAGTGTCCAAGGGTCCTCTTAACTAAAAATATCGCCATCCACTTCTCCCCTCATTCCTGAGATGCCTGAAATTCCAAACAGTAGTTTCCAGAAATCATAATCATTCTGACTGTATTAAGGCATCAGGCTACTTGGGAGGGCCAACAAATAATAGGGACTTTGTTGACCTGGTTATCCAATCAGGACCCACAGCCACTTGTAGGAAAGTCTAGAGCCTGAGCCTCCAGGGACTGGGGGAGTCAGTGACAGTGAGTCATCCTTGACACAAGGGGGCAGGAGAGAGCAATGGTGGTGGAGTGGGGAGCCTGAGACAATCTGAGAGGGGGAAGTGCTCTGGCCTTAGGACTGGTTGGGTGTCTAAAGTAGAGGGGCTTCCAGTCTGAGACCAGAAGGTGAATCCTGGCTCCTCCACATGTGGATTGAAAGGATGATCTTGGGCCATTTTCTTCATCTCTGAACCTATTGAAATGGGAATATTTAAAACCTATCTCAAAGGGTTGCCGTGAGGAGTAAATGAAACTCATTATCAAAGGCTTAGCCTGATACCTAACACATGGTATGTGTTCAGTAAGTGCAGTTCTCATGGTTATGGCTCAGATACTGCTGCCCTTGTAGCTCACTGAGGGCCCACCTTCGTGGAAGGATTGTCACCGCCTCCTTGGAGCATTTCTAGATTGCTTCACATGAGAGCAGGCTCGCTCTCCTCTGAGCACACAGTCAGTACCCGGTTTGTGGCACTTACTGCTTGCTGCCACGTGTCATTGCACTGTATTTACTTATGTCACATGCTTTAGTTCTCCTATAATACTGTTAGTTCCTGGAGAGAAGAAGTAGTATCTGATTTGTTTTTCTCTTCTTGACATTGCCTCACAATTCCTTGTACATGGTAGATGGTAGATATCCAATAAATAAAAATTGCCCCTGTGGATGAATACCTGAAAACACTTTTATCAATTATTTTATAATCAGTGATTTTCACAGCCTTTTGTAAAAATGGCCTAACTAGTTAATCTACAGGTTAAAGGGGACACCATTTAGGATACTAAGTCACCACTATGTCTGGTCTAAGAGCTGTTTGGTTGTGTTGCTTGGGCTTCCAGCAATGTCTATCATAGGCTGTTGGGACAGGGAACAAATGCCCTTTGAGAGCTGCTTGACTGGCCTGAACAGAAGACCAAATTCTAAATTGTAGATTTCAGTTCACTAAGTGAGTTGATGCTGATTGTCTGTTCATGGAAAGGAAGAAAGAAACCTAATTTCATAATTATTAGGGCAAGAAGAAAGAATCAGAAGATTCATAGATTGAATCATATGAAATTGCCATTTTAGTAGATCAAAATGATCAAATATACGTCTTTTCAAGTGATTTAATCTTCATAGTTCTACTAGAAATCTGATCATCCAGGTAGTATATCCATAGGATACAAATTATCACAAGGTCTAACGTACCGTGAGAGAAAGGGAATAATAGACTTTCCCCTATCTCTTCTGTTCTGAGTCACTGATTTAACATCTGTCCACCAACCTCCCATCACAGCTACGGTCACATTTTGGAAGCCCAACTAAGGAGCTAGCATAACTCGTACCTGTGGACACACCAGATGGATAACTGGGCCTGTAGCAAAAGAAGGGAAGAGGGCTGTGATGTCCTGGAGTGGAGCCAGGCCACAGCTGCACGAGGGGTGGACAGGCAGATGACAGACAGATGGAGGCCAGCCTCTAGGTGCAGAGCAGCCTTTGAAGTCAGGGCTGGCTGGTGCAGAGCCGCTCCAAAATCAGGAATTAGACAGAGATTGAGGTTGGAGAAAAGGGCAGTACACTGAACTTGGACAGTATTGTCCACAGACCTCATATTTCTCTCTACTTATCTCTTATAAACTCTAGATAATGCAGATTTTTATGAAGTGATGTTTTTAATAAGAAAGTAAAATTATAAGAATTGTAAATATTGTGTGTGGCAGTGATGTCAGTGATATTCATTTAGAAAAAATTCTCCCATTGAGCAGTAATGCCCCAAGATGTTAGTACCTTTTTTTTTTTAACTTGTTGGCATTTACTATGCATGCAGACCCAGCTGTCATAAATGGAACCCCAGATTCCAAGGGGAGCTAATTTATACTAGTCCAGCTTAGCTCAGTAACACTATCTCTTTTCAAATTCCTTCTTTCTTCTCTCCCATTCTGGCCTAGAATTTGATTTCTGTGAGGGTTTTTCCTATGAGTAACTGTGGAAGCAATTCCTACCTATTTCTTTTCCCCTCACTGCCTCAGCTCCAGCCACAGGCCTTCTTGCTGTTCTTGAAACATGCCAGGTGGGTCCTTTCCTCAGGACCTTTGCACAGTTCCCCCTGCCTGCACTGCTGTCCCTGGATATCTGCTGGCTCCCTCATTCCCTACAGAAGTCACCTTCTTGAGGACGCCTTCCCTAACCACTGCTGTTAAATTTGTATTGTTTAATCCTCTTAGCAGTTTTTTCTCCATTGCCTTTTTAAAAGGCATTCTATATGTTTCACTCATTTTGTATGGCCCGTCTCCTCCCTTCCCCCCATTACAGTGTAGGCTCCATAAGGGCAGACACTTGCACCTGTTTTGTATGCCCTGGGCTTAGTGCAGAGCCTGACACAGAGGAGGTGCTCACATTTGCTGAAGACACAGACGGATACTAGGAAGGTGTGAGGACTAATGTTCACGACCTGTTCTTCCTTTTCCCTCCATCTTTAAACAGTTGCATATCTGTAAAGCCACAGAACCTTTCCAGATTTAGAGAAATAGAACTGTTTCAAAGTCAGTGACAGATTCAAGCATACACATCTTTTGCAGACTCCATGTAAATTAGATTTCAGCTCTGCTCCCGATTCACCAGCCTTCCCTTTATGAAAAGTATTTTTTTGAAGTATAAGTTCCAGGTTAAAATAGATTCATATTCATTTCAGCATATGTCATTATTTCAAAACAGAGAAGTAAAATGTTTTGCCACTGATTTAATTCACAAATACTTACAAAGTTCCTACCATGTGCCAAACTCACTGTGTTAGGCCTTGCAGGAAATCCAAAGGAAAAAAGAAAGCTAAGTTCCAGTTCTTAAGTGACTTAGGGTAGAAGGTAAGCAAAGATAAGTAGAAGGCAGAATATGGTAATGGTTTGGGGATAGAACTTGTACTTCTGCTTCAATCCCTGGCTCTTGTCATAAGAACCAACACTTTTATGATGAGATGCCCAACCTCAGAGTCTTCTACTGTGTTGCCTCCCACTCCTGCCCCCCACCCCCCAGGAAGGGAAAGGGTCAGAACAATGCAGAGGGACCTTGGGAGCCTTATGCTCTGCCCAGGCCTGGAGAAGACCAGCCTCCATCTTGCACAGAGCTGCAGCTGATGTGCAGGATACTGCCTCTGGGGAGGGGCTCAGGGGACTGGGGTGCCCACTCTGAACCCTGCCAGGCTGTCCCTACCCCAGCTAGAGGGGCAGGGAGGAAGGGGAGAGAAGTTCTGCTTTTACAGAACTGGCGCAGTCAGGTGAAAGGGGCCTCCAGCAGGGTGAAAGGCGCCTCAGGGAATCATGTCTCCCCTAGTGGTTAAGGTTAGGGTACCCTGGACTTGGGGTGATCCATTCTAACAGATAGTCTGGACTGCATATTATTAATTCTTTCAGAAATGGTTTCACAGAAAAGAATAATATTGACAGCCCAGCCAAGTGTGGCTCAGCAGTTGAGCATTGACCTAGGATCCAGGAGACCACAGTTCGATTCCCTGTCAGGGTACATGCCTGGGTTGCAGGCGCCATTCCCAGTCGGGGGCATGCAGGAGGCAGCCGATCAATGACTCTCTCATCATTGATGTTTCTGTCTATCTCTCTCTCCCTTCCTCTCTCTGAAAATCAATAAAAATATATTTTAAAAAAATTCTCACCTCTCGCTTGCAAACCTCATTATTTCCTATTATCCAGCCTATCCAACTATTTCTTTAAAAAAAAAAAGGAAGTATATATAGACAGATTGCATGCACAGAAGCTGACCCAACTATTTCGTGAGCTGATTTTTAACATTTTGATTTTTTTTTTCTTAAGTATATATTTATAAATGATGAGGAAGGCATGAACATCATTAAGTGGTGTTTAGCCCAGGGAATGGGAGCCTGATACCCATCCAGGGTTCTCTGTAGTGACAAGGGCCATGTTGGAAGATACGAGTGCTAGGGACAAGAGCACTGGGTTGGGCAACCTGGCAAGACTTTGGGGCATGGTGCCACCCTCTCTCATGCCTTGTTCTGGCACACCTGGTTTCTGCTCTGCTCCCGCCACCCTCCCTCCTGTGCCCCCTCCCAGCCTCTTTGCCTGCTCAGCTCCTGCTTGTCCCTGAGATCTCCCCTGAGACAAATCTTTTCTGGAAAGTCTTCCTTTGGCCCACACCCTGCACTCACTTCATCAGGGCACCGATCACACTACTTTGAAACAGCCTCATCTGTCTCCACCAGACTGTGAGCTTCCTGGATGAGCTGTGAGAAGTTCAGTGTGGAAGTGGCAGAGAGGGCCAAACAGTTTTTCATTTTAGACCCTTTGTGATTATCGCAATTCCTACAGTTATATTTGGACAGAAGAAAAAGTGGAGAAAGCATAGAAGAATGGTCGACAGAGGTGGGTGATACAATAGGAAAAGAAATGCTTTTTAAAAATTTACATGGGTTCTTGCTCTGACTGACCTGGGTGTGTGTGTGTGTGTGTGTGTGTGTGTGTGTGTATGCCTGCATGTGCACACAGGTGGGGTGGGCGCCCTAGTTTATCCACCTGCAACCCTGATTGGTGAAACAGAGGGTTGGGTTATCAGTGGGCCCTTTCCCCACAAACCAAAACAGCACTCCCTCCTTCACGTTCAAGTTGACATAACCTGTAAAACTCCATCCTAAGGTTTCCGAACCCAAACAAAAAGGCCTAAGTCTTGACCTAGAGCTCTCAAGTCCTTTCCAGTCCCAGTTCCTGGGGCTCTGATTCTGTAAGAGGAGGCAGTGGCCAGGCCTCAGGAGGAACAGGTACAGCTGAACATGGTACACTACATGGGGAAGTTAAAGGGACTGCAGCTTATGGGTCTGGATGGTCTGTGACTAAATGTCTTCCTTCTTTGCCTTTGCCTCCCTCCCAGGGACTCACTCTCTGAGATATTTCCGCCTGGGCATTTCAGATCCTGGCCATGGGATCCCTGAATTTATTTCAGTGGGATATGTGGATTCTCATCCCATCACCACATACGACAGTGTCTCTCAGCTAAAGGAGCCTCGGGCACCGTGGATGGCGGAGCACCTCGAGCCTGATCACTGGAGAGATACACGCAGCTGCTGCGGGGCTGGCAGCAGACGTTCATGGTGGAACTGGAGCGCCTGCAGCGTTACTCCAATCACTCAGGTGGTGAATGCAGCAGATTGCTTCCCCTCTCTGGCACCCACCCCAGCTGAGAGGTCCCTGGGCTGACAGTGTGTGAGCTCTTGCTGAGTTGCCCTCTCTGTGGCTTTTGCCAAAACCTGGACAGTTTGGTTGATGGGTTTGGTGCCTGCCACCTGCCCTACTCATCTTCCAAATTGTCTGTTGTCCCCAGAAACTCTTTGTCCTTTGCTCCCCGTATCCCTGTCTCAGTATCATTTAGACTTTTGAACTGTATCTTCTCCTTTCCCATCTAAATGTGCCATTCTGTGTCTAATTTCCTGGTAGCCAGGTTTAGTGAGTTGCTCACTTACGCATCACGACTTATGACATTAACTTTTCCAGGGACATTTCTGACTCCTGCATATCTCTCCCCTCACTGCACTATGAAGTTTATCAATTAATCATTCCCATTATACAAGTTATCCTATAATTCCCCTAAGGCAAGAATTATCATGTTCCTTGCACACACAGTAGGTACACCACAAATACCTGTTGATAGATGGGATTACGTCACAGGAACCTCCTGGAGACAGTGATGCCATGGTGGGCCTGTGGGGTGCTCTGTTCTGGGGTAGAGGATGCTCCCAGCCACACCCCCAGTCACATCACCTGGGCATTCGCCCCTGTGTAAACCTCTTTTTGGCCTGTATGTGTGTTCCAGGGTTTCACACTTACTAGAGGATGATTGGCTGTGAGATGCTGGAGGATGGAAGCACCACGGGATTTCTGCAGTATGCATATGATGGGCAGGATTTCATTATCTTTGATAAAGACACGCTTTCCTGGACAGCTGTAGATAATGTGGCTCACATCATCAAGAGGACGTGGGAGGCCAATTGGCATGAGTTACAATATCAGAAGAATTGGCTGGAAGAAGAATGTATCGCCTCGTTAAAGAGATTCCTGGAGTATGGGAAAGATACTCTACAAAGAACAGGTAAAAAGAAGGGAGAGCACCTTGTTCCCACACCCCCAGAAACCTTGGTCTATACATAACTTCCTCTAATCTAGGTTATATTCACTCTATTCTGAAATCCATCCTGTTAGTTGGATCATCATGATCTAATACTCTCTGGGAAAACTTCCCCTCGTTGCTTTTTATCAGCACCTTGATGAGATTTAGCAATTCCACTTGAGAGAGTGAAGTACCTCCAGGGATACCTCCTTTTGTGGGGATCCAGTGAGACAAATTATTCCATCTCCTGACAGTGATAAGCTGGGAAATACTTTGGGCAGTGGAGCAGTACTTACAAGTTGTATAGTAACTAAGTAACTTCCATGACACCAGTATGAGGGAAAATCTGGACTTAACAAAGAAGACAGAGGCTCTTTGCTTTACTAAAGTATTTATGATAAGATTTCTTTCAGTGAAAAGCTCCTTTTACACATTAACAATAGGATTTAGTTGGTCAACTTTTAGTTAATACAGAACTTTTCACTTATAATCTTATTCAGTGAATTACGCCTATATCATGCTGTAGGAAACTCCTAAACACAATGTGCCTTTTCCCTCAAGGGTGGTCTTTAATTGTGGGGCTTTCCAGAGCTGTGGCGGGCCCTCAGGAGGCATCGGGCCCCAGTTATGAGTATGGACTATCTTTCCAAGAGCCTCTACTGTGGAGGCAGATAACTAGAGCTTGAGCTTCAACTCTCTCACTCACTACCTGAAGAGCCATCTCAGCTGTAATGGTTGCAGTTAACAGAAACCTACTTACACTGGCCCTGTGCACAAAGGGAAAGGCTATTTGTCCGGCAGAAATCTGAACAGTGTGGGGATCTGAGGAATTAAAACCAAGATTTGAATGGTTTTCTCCAAGGGGAGGATGTGGCAGTCAACACAAAGCTCATGTCCTTGTAGCTTCACCTTTCTGGAAGAATGGACTTCTCTCCCAGCCCTAGTTGCAAAAAAATTTTTTAGTCATAGGAGGACTCCGGTTGGCCTCAGTTGGATCAGGTGCCACCCCTTGCACTAATCACTGTGCCCATCAGGATAAGTTCCTAAGACCGGTTGTGGGTTATAGAGCCCTGACAGGAACTAAATGGCACACTCAAGATGGTTTCACTGAGAAGTCAGTAACAAGATTATTTACAGAGGCACAATCAGGGTTGTGCCTAATAAGGGATCGAGAAATACCTAGAGACTTGCAGCGGAGGGAATCCATTACACCTCCTAGATCCAAAGGAGAAAGGGACTATCATTATCAGAGCCCAGCAAGCGTGGGTACTCTGGAAGAACCCTCTAGCAAGAGCTATGGCTGTGGAGGACCATGGTCACTGGCAGACTGCAATGGCTGGGCAACTGGTGAACAAGAACCCAGCCACTCTCCTCTAGTTCTCTGATCTTTTGCTAAGGGTACTCCTTCCAGAGGCCAGACCCAACAGGTAGCTGGGGGCAAGGGAACCCTGGAGGTGCAGTCCGATGAGCACGGCCTCCTGGGGCACGGAGCAGGGCACAGAAGGTCTGAGACTAGATCTGGGAGCTAGCAAAGAGAGAGTAACCGGGACACACAGTTTGGGTGGCAGGATTAAGATCGGTACTTCTTAAAAGAAGCACATGTTGGGGTGGGGTGGACTAATTTTCCAATATACGTAGTGTGTTTGTCAGGAGAAGGGGTTCTTGTTATCAGAAAAAATGGGGCTAATAGATGCTAGGCCAGCAAAGCAATAACCTTGAGTAAAATAAGTAGGTGTGATATGCCTACCTCACAGCAAGTGCGGTGAAATAATGTATATGAAAGCTCTTTGTATACTGTAGGTCTCTGTTTACCCAATTAAATGTTACTGTTGCCAGACTGAAAAATGTCTGACAGCTCAGGATCTGGTTGAAGTCTAAGGCCAACTTGGGGTTGCATGGGACCCTTAATCATGAGGCCTTTTAGGCCGAGGCCGGGCAGATCTGAAGAGGGGCCATGTGAGTCTCCACTTCCTCACCTTGATTAGTGGCATAGCCTTTGACTGCAAACAGAGAGCCCCAGTTGCCTGGTCTGCTATTCTGGGCGAATCCAGCACTGGGTGAAGGCAGACAAAGTTTAATTGGGATTTGAAGGCTAATAACTCTTTGGAAAAACTGGAAAGCTTGCACACCTGGGGTATGTGCGAAGAATGTGGGAAGTCTAATTTCAGTATACCTGCTCCCTGCCCCAAGCCTCCTCTCTCTCTACCTTAAGTGTCCTAATGGGGTCTCAACCCTTTGGTGAAAGCCCACTCCTAGAAAAGGATCTGTGGTAATTTCTTACAGGCACTATCAACAAGCAGAGTCCCTCTTGGTGGCATTTATATTTTCTTGTTAATGTTGGAAAGCCCTTTTCTCCTATTAAACCACATGGCACAGGAAACAGAAAAGGCAGGTATTGTTGAGATGCAGGCTCCTCCCTGTATCGAGGTGGCAGGTAGCCCTGTGGGGTGAGGAAGTGAGTAGAGACTAGCAGGAAGCATCACCTCCGGGGACAGCATTGGGCTCTGTGTGGTTCATGTCTGGACATGACCCAGTGTTAGCAGGGAACACTAAGGACGGCACCATATGGAAAATGAGTAGAATGGTCAAGAGGAAATAAGACCACACATGGACAACCCTTTGTCATCACTGCCGGAGTCCCTCCATGATATGAATTTCCATAACCCCTTGGAGGGCATAACTGTTACATGATCTATTACATATGTTTGTTTCTGGTGACAGTCACTGTCTTAGTCCATCTGGGCTGCTATAACAAAATACCACAGACTGGGTAACTACAAGCAACAGAAATTTATTTCCCACAGTTCTGGAGGCTGGAATCTGGGATCAGGGTTCCAGCATGGTCAGATGAGGGCCCTGTTCCTGGCTGCAGACTGCTGACTTCTTATTGTCCTCTCACATGGTGGAACGGGACTAGGGATTTCTCTGGAGCCTCTATAAGGCACTAATACCATTTTTCAGGGTTCTACCCTCATGATTTAAGCACCCACCAAAGCCCCACCTCCTAATACCATCATTTTGGGGTTAGGATTTCAACATATGAATTTGGGGCATACACAAACATTCAGGCCACAGTAATCAATGAAGTACCATCTTGAATACGCAGGCAATTCAGAGCCAAAGCTGAGCTGAGATGGCTGTGATATCTTTGTACTAGCACAGAACTGAGAAAAAGGAGCGCTGGGTTCTAATCTCCAAACTTTTGCTGAATCACTTATCGCCAAGTCACATGCAAATTGTGTAGCTTAGTTACATGGCTCAACTCCACATTCATTATTCCTGAGCACACTGCCCAAGCAGGAAGTGCACAATAAGTAAGTTTGTTGTTGATGAAACTGGGTTCTAGGTCATTCTTGGTTTTAGATGTTTCCTGCAATGATGAAAACAAATTGGGAAGTCCAGTTGCCAAGTTCTAATATTATATGCTCAGTACATAAGATATTTGTATTTAACTTTACCTTCTTTTTCCTAGAGCCCCCACTGGTCAGAGTAAATCGCAAAGAAACTTTTCCAGGGATTACAACTCTTTTCTGCAGAGCTCATGGCTTTTACCCCCCAGAAATTTCCATGATCTAGATGAAAAATGGGGAAGAAATGATCCAAGAAATGGATTATGGAGACATTCTTCCCAGTGGGGATGGGACATATCAGACATGGGTATCAGTGGAGCTGGATCCTCAGGACAGTGACCTTTACTCCTGTCATGTGGAGCACTGTGACGTCCAAATGGTTCTTCAGGTCCCTCAGGGTAAGGACAGGGTGTGCTATCTGGGAATTGAGGCCAAGGAAGGGGGGTGAGCAGCAAGAGTGGATCACTATATGCTTTAGAATGGGTCTTTTAAATCAGAGGTTCTCTCACTTTTTGGTCTCAGGGCTTCCTTATGTTCTTAGAAATTATTGAGGATCCCAAAAAGTTTTTATTTATGTGGGTTATCTCTATTACTACTTACTATATTAAAAATTAATTTTAAAAAATTAAACTTAAGAAAACACAAGTACATATTTCATTAGCTTTCAGAGCAATGGTGTCATTACGTGTGGTGTAGCCTCTAGAAAGCCCCACTGTGCACAGATGAGAGATAAGAAAAAGGGAAGTCATGACTTAGACCTCATGGACTCTCTGAAGGGTCTTGAAGATCCCTGGGGCATTAAGACCTCACTTTGAGAGCTACTGTCCCCCTGTTTTTGATTATTGCCCTACATGGAGCTGTGAAGTGAGAAGTGAGAGTAAGGAAAATGGTGTTGGGCTTCCTGATGATCACAGAGACAAAAGCACACAAAAGTTAACATAGAATGGGAGAAAGACTTGTGGATTTTCCTCATATGCTTGCTTTCAGAATCAGAAACAATCCCTCTGGTAATAAAAGCTGTCTCTGGGTCCATTGTCCTCACCACTGCCCTGGCTGGAGTTGGCCTCCTGGTCTGGAGAAAGAGGCCCCAAGGTGAGAGGCATGTGGAAGGGTCTGAGGGGGTTGCAGATCACCACTCCCACAGTACCACAAGCTTTATTTTCTGCATCTGTCACTCTACCGTCCATTTAGAAATGAGTTGGGCCTCAGTTTGTGATCACAGAAGGACCAAGAACACCTCTCCCACCATGTAGAGAACACACAGGTGGATATTGCTTGCAAGTAGAGTGGTCTGTTTCATAGGTGGTACCTGACATCAGCTTCTGTCCAGGTGAACTGTCCTAGAAGTTGGGTCAGAGAAGATAGCGTGATCTTGGTTTGTCTTTTTCTAAACTATATCCTTATTAATTACTGTTAACCTTTTGTTTTGTCCTTTGTTTCAGTAAGTTTTTCCATTTTGACAAACATTTTCTTACCCAATCATATGAATATCATTTTCCTTCTAAATTCATTTTCAACATATGAAATGTTGAAGAGTAGATACCTTTGGAAAACAGGAGTCAGGGTAAGGAAAAGGGGAGGGAGAAATGGGAGGGATATAGGCTCTTGATACCTTGGGGAAACCATTAATTCATTCCATATATATGTATTAAATATCTACTATGTTCCAGGCACTGTACTGGATGCTGGGATAACAGCAATACAAAAGACATGATCCCTGCTGTCTTGTAAGGTCATCTCCCTCCAACCTCCACCCCAGGCTTTAGTAGATGCTGAAGTTGATCACAGCATAATATTGATGAGACCCAGATTATGGGTTTGAACCCAGTGTGGGCCATGAGTTTGGTATTGCTTCATAACCACATACTTCAACCCCAATTCAAGTGATACAGTATAAAGCATGTTATTAGATCAAAGTAAAAACAACCCCTTTACTAGAAAATCAACTCAGAGAGTTAATGGGTTATTTTAATGTTTTCTTTACAAAATACAGCACTATTCCCAATCCACTAAATGAGAACTGCTGAAGCAAAAAAATAAGATTTTTTTTTACAATGACAAACCTATCTCAGGAATGACACACTGTGAGTTCCTGCTTATTATCTTGTGGAGTTTGTGAGTTTGAGTTAAAATTTGTGGAGTACTAAGAGAATCTTGACAAATCAGTCTAAAAATGTCAGTGCCAACTTCTCAGATTTTGCTGAATATTGCATAATTTTTTTTTTTTAGCTATAAGGAGAAATGCACATATCTGACTAAAAAGTCTTTCTTTCAGAGAGCAATGAAGTCATCTACCTTCCTGCACCAGATCAATGATTGGGGATAGCTTTTTTCCAGCTGTCTTTCCCCTGGGAATCATAGTCGCCTCTGGCCCCTATGGACTCAAGTCCAGTGCTCAAAGCTTTTGACAACACCCACACAGATATGGATATTACAGGATTGAACACTTATGGCAGAAAGATAGGAACCATAAAGTTTTCTTTGTTCTTTGGCTCCAAAAAAACTGTCAGCTTTCAAGCTCTTTGATGGACTCCTTTGTCACATTTGGCTCTAAATATAGCCTGTCTCATGACACAACACTACCCTACATCCCATCTGTCAACAATGATTTATAAGTAAATTATAGAATCTCAGACCTGGAAGAAATCTTCCATTCGAGGGCTGGAAATGTCTTCTCCAGTGCCTTTGACTTGAGCATCCATCCTCCACTTGTATACCACCGGTGAAGGGCACCTCATGTCATAAAGTGGCTTTTTTCTTCCATCCTGAGAATATATTATGCAAGACCTTTGAATCATGGCTGCCATGACTGTGACCCTAAAGACAACGTTGGACCACCTTATGAAAGCAGCCACCGAGTTTCTACAATGACCTGTGAATAGCGGATCATTTTATATATTTCCTGGCCTGAGAGAAAGCAAAGTGTCCCGTTCTTTTGGCATCTCTGCCTGGTAGCTTGGAATCTTAGAAATATGCCTGGTTGGATCTGTGGAAGTGATCTCATTCTTTCTGTTTTTTTTGTGGAAGAGTAAGAACATTAATTATCAGACATATCTTCACCTTCAGTGGAACTACAAAGACCTAGACCCAAGTCCAATCTTTTAATATAAAAATGATAGTATGTTTATCAGAATAGGGTTCCACTTTAATTCCTGTCCTTCCTCTACTGGCTCATTGTAGATGGGCCTGACTCACCTTTATACATATACTCATTCTCCATGTTTATTCCCTATGCACTGAGAGTAAGTAAAAGCCCCACTGTGAGAATCAACACCCCCTTGATCTGCCTTACTACACCCCTAAAATCTTGACTATCATTTACCTCTTGTTCATCTGTCATCTTTGATTCTCAGAAGGTCATATTCTACAAAGGGGAGATGCTGATGTTTTTCAGTAAGTTAAATATGAGTTCAGACCTCAGGACCCTGGACTCGCCTCGATATAAGATTTCTGAAAACACTCAGACCATGGGGAACCCATATTGTGGCTCCAGGGGAACTCGCCAAGGCTTTCACCGTGGCCTCCTTCCCCAACAAGTTTTTTTCTTGCTTCCCCACAGTTGGCTTGGCCATGTAAAAGGAACACCAGATATGGCCACTTAGAAGAGCAAGTGAAGATATTACACCATATGTTATTAAATGTCTCTTTGTTGTAAATCTTGTTTGATCACAACACACAGCTCTGCCCATTTATTCTGTATGAACCAACTGAGGATATGAGTAGGGCCACAGCTAACACATATGGGACATTTGTTCAAATTGGAGGATTATTTCTCCTTTTTGTGGACACTGACCCAGGCTGGGTGACATGACTTAGTCAGCAAAACATAGAATGGATTTCTGCCTTATTTGCCCCCTTAGTGTCAGGGCACAACATTACATGGCAGCTCTGGTTATACCATTAGAAAATAGATGGAAATTGGCTATAGACTAAAATGAATGTATTGATTTGGAAGGGATGGGTGGTAGTGGGGAAAAAACCAGGTCAACTTATTCAAAACAGTAGAATCGGAAGCCCTGTTTGTCTATTCAGAGAGCTAAAATTATCTGAAAGGTTTTACATAATCCTATCATGGAGTTTATTTATGGCAATCTATTTTTAAATTTTTGTCATATTACACAGTCTGTTTGCACAATGCCTTGTATGTAGTAGGAACCCAGTAAATACTTCTTGAATGAACCAGTACAGTATTTTAATTAGCTAGTCCTCACGTACTGGTGCAAAAGAACAGTGTCATCTTACAGCTGAAATCATAGAGGGGAAATATCCCACTCAGGGTCATATGACATTCCAGAGCCCAAGATGTATGCCCTAAGGACTACTATGAATTCTTCAAAGTTTCTACAGCATTCACATTATTTAATACTTTATCTTGTCATCGCCTTGTCTGTGAAATTAGGGATCCCAAACATTCTAACCACACTCTTCCCCCGCACGCATATTAGGAATAAGGGCAAAATTCAAAGGTTTTTACATGAAGCACCATTTTTCTTAAAGGCTATGAGAAGAGGGCTGAGAAATGAGTTTTCAGTCATCTTGAGGGCCCAAAATCTGATACCTAATAGATATCTTTTTATTCTTAAGGACTGTAGAGCTATTATATAATCTGGATTTTTTTTTTTTCTATTGTCATTTGGGTCTTTAGTTCATTAAAGTTCGTGAAATACAAATTTCATCAGTTCTTATCAATAACTTCTCCCCCTTCTTCCCTGAATTCAGTGAGCCCATTAGGCAGGAACTTCTCCTTTTGTCCCTTGGCAGGGCTTTGGTGCGAGAGAATGTTTGGGGCTAGAAGGTTCTGAGCTGAGCTGGTTGGAGCTGGACAAGTGGAGCTGAGACCGAGTAGAAGGCTGGGTTGGCCTGGAGCCCTGGCAAGTGGGGGCCGGGTCTGAGGCAAGTGCCGTGGCAGCAGCCAGACTTCTGAAGAAGCAAAACAGGGCCAGGGAGTGGGAACAATCGAGAAGAAAAACAGCTTCTAAGAAAACAGCTTCTCAAATGGAAAATAAATTCAGGAACAGGAGGCTGCAGACCAAAATGGGAAGCCACCAGAATGGAAAAGGAAGTGAAACCAAGAAAGAAATGAGACATTCGGCCTCAAGTTGAGGCAGTCTCTGCTTTGTTTCCTTTTGGAGGTATATTGTGGGTCTAAGGTGAAGCTGTTACCCGAACCGAGTAAAAGCTCTGTTTTTCCTGAGCAACATGACAATAGCAGAAATAGAGAATTCTGGGAACACCTCAGGAAACACAAACTCTAAAAGGTGACAATTCTGGGGAAACTTGGAGGGCTGGGAATAATAAAAAGTAAAACATTTGGTATCTCATCAGCTGCTGAATACAACCCCTTGACGTGCTTTAAAAGATCTTAAAGCCTGTAGTCTGTTACTCACAAAACAGCTACAAATACATGGTCTGTGCATCACACACACAGGAAGTTGGAAACCAGATGGAACCCCTGAGGCTGAGTGTTTGGGCTGCCCTCTCCCTTACTTTTAAAGACTGAATTAGTCATTGATCCCTGAGGATCAAGGAGGGTTGAAGATGTAACGCAATCTGTTCTAACCCAATTTAGGCCTTTGCCATTGAAATTAAGATCAAATTTCAAAGATCTGTGAGTTTGCCCAGCTTCACTGACTTGAAGCCTGTATACATGGTGACGTGTTTATAGGCTCAGTGATGAAATTGTCAAGGATTTTTCTCTGCCACAAGGAATTAGTAGTTTGTGTGTCACTGTATGTACTATATTTTCATTAATGCCATGGAATTTATTTAATAATCTGCCACAGATATTGATATTCAAATTAGATTCTTATGGCCATCATTAGTTAATCAGCCATTCATAGAGTGTATGTGCCATGAGGCCTGAAACTCCAGTGCCTGGCACATAGGAGCCACTCAATACATATGGATATTGGCAGAATGAATTTCAGTAGGACCTACTGTGACCCAGACTGTATAGGCAATAGAGCCCAATAGTGATGTTTTGATAATTACCCAGTGCAGAAATGGCCCAGACATATGTTTATAAGCAAATCAAGCTCACATCATAGAAAAGGATTTTAAGAAAGATAATCTAGATTTTATTTCTATAAAATAGACCTGGGTTTTGTGTTATAGGAGAATTACCACTCTAACAGTGACCTTTTGTGGTAATGCTGAAAAACACAGATTGGATAAAACTTCAGAGTGAAATGGGAGGGACTGCATATAAATATTCCATTATTGAAAGGGAGGAGGGAGAGAGGGGAGGACTGGGAAAGCTGAGTGCTGCCTCCGTCCCCGAAGCAGCTGGGCTGGGCTTCCAGGACCAACAAGCAGTTGTGATGGTGACATCTAGGAACTCAAGTGTATTCAGGGAGACAGAGCAAGTTCTAATCCTCTATTTCCTTTTGCTTTCCCCAATTGGCCAATCCTCAGAATTAACTCCCTCTCTAAACTGGTAAATGCTTTTTGGCTCTGCTATTCAACTGGCACTTGGCCACTCTGTGTTGGTATTTATCTGTTTCTGCCCAGCTTATCTCTCTGGCTAGACTATAAACCCCTTAAGGACACAGCTTGAATTCCATCTCCTTCACTTAGTATCAGGGTGATCTTAAGTTATTTAAATTCTTAGCCTCAGTTTTATAAAAACAGGTTTGTAACTATCTGTCTCCCAGCGTTAGTTAATGTAGAAATTAGATGAGGGTGTGTGTGTGTGTGTGTGTGTGTGTGTGTGTGTGTGTGTGTGTGTGAGTGAAGGCACATTGCACAGGGTGTGGCACATGCAGTGTCTTTTGTCCTCTCTGTTTTCTCTAGGGACTTACTCCCTATGTCCCATACAGTCATAGCTACCATTTGTTGAGTCTTACTATGAACTGGTCACTTTACATACGTTATCTCTAATCCTCATAACACTTTGTCAGTAGGTATCATCATCTTCATTTTGCTGAAGTTTAAATAAGTTATGTTTCTTAACAAGGTCACATTTAATAAGTAGCAGAGGCATGATTTAAACCCAAGTCTTCTCCATATACAGCTTGTGCTCTTTCCAGTACACCACCCTATCTGCACACAGTAGGCACTCACTTGATACTTGATTAAAATGGTAAGGTATCCCCCAGCCTGCTTGTGCTCAGTGGTTGAACGTTGACCTATAAACCAGGAGATCGCAGTTTCATTCCAGGTCCGGGCGCATGCCCAGGTTTCGGGCTCTATCCCCACTGGGGGGCATGTAGGAGGCAGCTGATCAATGACTCTCTAATCATTGATGTTTCTATCCCTCTCCCTTCCTCTTTCTGAAATCAATAAAAACATACTTTTTAAAAAAATTGTAAGGTATCCCCTACTCAAAACCATGCTCTATAGTGAACCTGGGGAACAAAGGAATCAAAACTTTACAATGAATCAGAAAATCAATAAAGTCCCTTATAAATTTGTGAAAGTCTGAGTCTTTTTTTTCTCAGCCTTTGGCAGTATGGCTTTGATGCTGAATAAGGCCTGGAGGGCCAAATGAAGGGAGTTGTCACACATTTCATGGAAATGTCAATGAAGGCCATGGATAAGATTCATTACTTGTCAATTCTTGGCAGACAGGAATAGCTGATGCCCAGAGGGAAAATTAAAAGCTCCTTACTTTGCAAACAAACTCACCCAGGGTAGATCTAGTGGTTAGAGCTGGAGGATTGTTTAGGGGTCATATAGTTAAATTTTCTCATTCTACAGATGAAAAAAATTGAGGCTTGGAGAGTGAAATGATTTTCCAAAAGGAACTCTGATACCAATTATAGACTTCATGCCTTTACAAAAATATGTTCAACATGGCTAGTCATTAGGGAAATGCCGATTAAGGCCACAGTGAGCTATCACCACACACCTATAAGAACAGTTAAAATAAAAAAGTAGTGACAACACCAAATTCTGATGACGATGTGGAGAATCTGAATCACTTAATCATTGTTGGTGGGAACAGAAAATGGTACTGGCATTCTGGAAAATAGCCTGGCTATTTCTTTAAAAACTAAATATATACTTACCCTGGCAGTTACAATTCTGGCAATTGACCCCAGAGAAGTGTGTACACATTAAAGTGTGTACACATTTAAATCTGTGCACAATTCTTCATAGCTGCTTTATTTGTAGTAGCCCAAAACTGGAAACAGCCAAAATATACCTCCATAAATGAATGGTTAAACAATGCTACATCCATGCTATGGAATACTACTCAGCAATAAAAAGGAACAAACTATTTATATATGCAACTATTTGAATGAATCTCAAGGGCATTATGCTGAGTGAAAATTGCCAATCTCAAAAAGTCACATACTATATAATTCCATTTATTTTCAAAATGACAAAATTATAGAGATGGAAAACAGATTAGTGGTTGCCGGGGTTGGGTGGGGGGAAGGGGGGGCGTGACTATTAAGAGAGCTTTTTGTGATGGGAGTCCTGTATCTTGATCACAGTGGTGCTCTCATAAACCTACACGTGTGATAAAATGAGAGAACTATGTACACATCTTGTATCAGTATCAGTTTCTCGCTTTCAATATTGTACCATAATTATAAGATGTAACCATAAGATGGAGGAAACTTGGCAAAGGGTACATGGCATCTCTCTGTACTATCTTTATGCTTTCCTGTGACTCTATAATTATTTCAAAATACAATTTTTTTAAAATTGAAGGACAATGCAGTAACTCATTTCTGTTAGGATAACTTATAATTATCTGGCTTACATGAAACTAGTTTCATGTAGAAATTGGCCAAATAATAAAAGTGACTGACAGTTGAGCTTGTTAAAGTAATCTTTGCCTGTTATTACAGCTACCCCCAAAACTCTTTTTTTAGAAAAATCCCATTTAGTTTGCAGTCAGTAGATTGTACATTAAGACACTTAAGGGAACCCCTTTAACAACAGAATAATCTGAAAAGGCTGTATTATTAGAATTTGGTCATTTCATGTTGTAACAGTAAAAGTAGTTTGTTTGGGGAGTATTGGGGGGCATTTCCACTGTGTTAAAACCCCATAGAAGAAAAGGTGCAAGGTATTTGGTCCCTGGAGCTTGCTGCTGTCTTTCATAATTTGAAGATGCCCCTACCTAGGGGGAGCTTCATCTGCCTGTGTGACTGAAAATTCTCTTCGCTTGCTGGTGGCAGCTCATGGTGATTAAACTCTTTCAGGGGGGCTACCACTTGGGACTGATTACACTTGAACCGTTCTGATTGTTGGTTCTTGGGCTGGTTCCTTTGCAGCAGCTATTTTCTAGCTGTTCACAGCTACACCTTGAATCTGTAAGTAAACCACCCATTTTCTGGGGCTCCTAGTGACCTAGGAGTATGACTAATGCTCCCATTGTGCCTGTACTTGTCAACCTAATGAATGAACTTCCAATAACTGCATATTTCCTGAGAGGGAGTTCCCCATGCAATTTATCCACATACTTAGTTAGGCACGATCGCCACAATTTCAACACTGCTTGGCATTTACTTATAACCCTGGTCGGTTTTGGCCATAACAGTTCCATAGCGCCTCAGCCACAAAGGGACCTGCAACCTATCTCCCTTTACCTTCTTTGCTTTAGTCTCAGCAGAGGCTCTGGGCTGGTCCCTCATCTTAGGCTCTAGATCCCACCCTTTACTGACTCCCCCAAGACCTTTCCCCACCAGTTATCCCTCTCCCTGCTGTAGCTTCAAGTTCAGAGACTCCTGTAGGTATATATAGAAAAGGGCAGATGTTTCCCAGCCAGCCAGACGGGTTTGA